TTTGTGACAAATGCGCCATTGTTTAGGCCATTATTACCGTTAGCCTGAGTGTTTACTCCATCATTAACATGCGGGGTGTTCTGTCCAGTGGTTTGGACATTGTCTCCTGCATTTAGGTTATTCCCCATGTTAGATATTTCATTACCATTATTCAAATTCGGCACTACACCACCCCCTGGTTTGAAGTAGACGGACCGAAAGGTGGTTCTATTCCTTGACTTGGGTTCAAGCCTGGGGAATTATGTCCCACAATCGTCCTGGCTTGAAAGCGATTCCCTATTGGTACAACTGGTTGACATATTTGGCTCACTAACTTATTCATGATCTCATTTAACGTGTTTAGTTGTTTGGCCATGTTGTCATAATGTGAATTCCCATTTTGAGTAAATTTTTCCATATTGTGAATGTTTAATAGATTTACCTGTTCAACGACATCTTGTGTGAGTTCTCTAATTAATGCACGCATGGTTCGAGGACTCAATTCTGTCATTGGCTCGTAACGACTTTGATTGCTTTGACTTTGTCCCTCTGTTCGTGGAGTACTTTGCTGCTCCTCATATCGTTCGATCATAGACTGGATTACTCATTGGCTTGTTGGTTCTTTACTAGAATCCTTATGATGCTTATTGCTTCAGTTTTTTCCGTATCTCTAAACATCAATATCTCACTGGGCGTGCCAAATTGTTTCGCGCGGGTTTATTGAGTCTCGCTAACAATTAAAGGATGATTCAGACGATTGTGTAAGGAACAAACCTCTTGAGACAAAGTCTCAACTAGGTGTGCTTTATTTACGAATATTACAATGAAAAACGAAACAGAACGCCTCCAAATGGCACAATCACACAAAGTAATTTGAAAGTTGACGATAAGAATTAAAAGAAGTAAAATTACATATTCTATGTTTGAGAGTGATTGATTCGGGGTCCTTTCTTTCTATGTCTTCTTTTCTTTTATACTCCTTCACCAGTTTTCCTTGTGAAACCGTTTGGAAACTATTTGTTGCTCTATAATACCCACTTGCTTCATAATGGTCGACGTGTCAAGGAACTGCCGTTTTTAAACTGCTGTCACTACTCTCCTCTTTTAACTGCTTGCAATCGAGATCCTTGGATCGTGGAATGTGATAAGATTGCTTGATAACTGTTTCAATAACCGCCGCTCTAGATAACTGCAGGATGTTGTGTTCGCTCAAATCTTGGGCGTCTTGAAGGCCTGTGTGAGATTGGGACTGTAGCTCTGAGCGACAGTAAGATACTTCATTCGCTCAGATCATGGGCTCCCTGCAGGCTTGGGCGATGATTGTCCTCTGTTTATGGGTCTCAACTATGTTTTACAATAGTCTCATTTGGGCCCATTCTTCAAATTCCCTAACTGGACTCCATTTCTTTGGACCATTTATTTTGGCCTCATTTTTATATGTCAACACTGGCATATGACAATCAGATTGGTCATGTCTAGCTTGGACACACTCATAGCATAGAAAAATTTTCATCTGCTCTATTGTTGTCGATATGAAATTTACATTGAATTAGTTGAGGGCTGCTTTTGACTTGGTCAAAGGAGTTGGTTTGTCTAAACCCATCATGCAGGTCAACTCGACATCTTGGGCCAATACCCAATCGATAGAGGTTGGAGTCGGATTGCGGAAAACATCATATAGAAACATTATCATATTTTGACACGTGAAGTCCTCTCCCCTGGTGGTAGTGCCATCCAGATTAACCAATCAAGTGATCATGACAAGACGGTTTAGGACACAAGCCTAAGGTATAAGTGCTATCATGACTCCGCCAGAGTCGATAATATATTTTTCTAGTGCTAAAATTATGTTTAGCTCGACATCATGTCTTTTTAAAGCAACTTTTTAATTTGATTATGTCAAGTTTATTTATTATATTAAAAATTATTGGTTTCTTCTGTTTTTTTTTTTATATCACTTTGCTTTGATAAATTAGAATAGACGTAATTAATTTCATTTAGGAAACAGCATACTCATGCTAAAAATATTACAACACTTCCAAACAACTTATATTATATTAGAGGAAAAAAAAATCCTAAAAAATATGAGAAATATTTACACAGTGTATAGTGAAGATAGATTGAATAAGAAAACTATTCATAGATTTTCCAATTATATAAATGACGTAATTAAAAAAAATTTTAAAAAATAAAAATAAAATTCTCTTATCATCTCTTATCTAGTTTATGACTTATGTAATTGCTGGCCAAAGCCAATATCCATATAGGAAGACACATATGTATGCGCCTATATTAGATAACATTAAGTTCATGAAATAACCGTCATACCAATAAATAAATTTCATTAAATATGTCTATCTTAGTATAGTAACGTGTGGTTCAGTATTGAAACAAATACCTTTATTTGTTACTAACTTGATTTTTATTTTCTTTTGTTTTAATCTTTTGGTGAATGTTTTTTTTAGGAGCCATGTCAGCTGCGGATAACAGTAAACCAAAGAAGCAGAAAAGCAGCGTAAATTGCGTCTTCTTTGGAAAATATAAGTCGAAACACAACAAGAATAAGACTGCAAGGCCCGTTACAAACATTGCTATCTGCTCTTATATTGTTGAAGATGATTCATCAGATGAAGACATTCCTAAAGACAAAGGTATAATTAGACTCAAAAAAGAAGAAACGTGTTTTGAATAGAATATTGAACCGCTCTCGATGTTCAACGTATAAGTTTTTAGGTTTGAATAATGATATCTCACACCAATAGTGCTTAACATCTGTTTGGGTGGTTATAGGTAAGTGTTATGTGATAGGCTGAATGAAAAATGAAATTAAGTGATTTATTTAATTGTATTTATAATTTATGTCCCATTAGTGGCACATAAACTGGTTAACACCAATTGTGCTAAATAGCAATACTCTTTAGGTTTTGCCCCCATTTGATATCCATTTTAACGATTTTTTTTTGGGAAAAGAAGTTTTGGAATACTGATTTTTTTGGAGAATGTGTGGTTAAAAAATAGAAAAAGTTTTAAGTTTACGTGCAAAATATTTTATTTTGTAAATGTGTAGTTGAAAATGAATTTGAAGAAAAAAAGTCTTGATTTAATGAATGTCAAACACTTCATATTGCTTAATAATTTTTAGTATTGTATAATCAACCATACTACAGTGTAAATTTTTAGAATTATACTATTTGTACATTGAGATTGTTACATCTTTGTTGGCATTCAATGATGTATAAAAATCTGTGTAATTGATTGTTTTAAGTATTGTTAGAATCAATGGCAAAAATGCTAGCCACCTCACACGCTGACAATCAAACTGTACCTGTAGCAAAACTGAAATTTTTAACCCTTCGACTTAAAAGAGTAACCCATTAGTCTTTCCGTTCCAAGAACCTTAGAGACTTTATGTGGAGAACCAAAAAAATCATGTGGGATGCCCGTCAAATGTTTGTGATATACCTCTTCCGTGAGCAAGGTTAAAATCACGCCAAAAAGGAAAAACCATGAAAATAATTTTGAATTTATTTGAAAATAAAATAGACTCCCAACCCCCAAATCCCCCAAATTAAAAAATTGGTCCGCTATCAGAAATTAGGGTTCTACAATTTCTTTAGCTAATTTGAGACAACACACTTGCCTATATTTTTCTTTAATTTTAATGGTGATAAGCTAAATAATCATAGATTATTCGTGTTTGTAGATGTGAAGAAGGATGTTGAGACCAAGAAGGAAGACGTAAAAAAATGATGCTGCCAAATGAAGAAGGTAAAAATAAAAGTTTTGTATATCAACTATCAGTTTTTGTCTGCTCCACTAAAGGCGCGAGAATGCGAGAATGAAAATGAATAGATATTTGACCAAATTAATCTAAAATAAATTTTGTGTCATTTTTCTTCATACTTTTTTTTTCTTGTTAGTTTTATTGTAACAAAGCTTATGTGAAATAATCGAGAAATTGATTTTAATTCCCAATACGTTGCATGCTCGGTCAAACAATATATGCAATATTCAATTAAAATTAAAAACAAAAACAAGTTGTGTAATACGTCAAAACTACTAGTTTTAGGCGCACTCTGGTCGATAATTTTGAGCGAAATTTTTAAGGTTGAACATTTGGTTTTGTCGAAAAATATCGCCCTCCATCTTCCAGCTCGGGGAGCCTTTTTTTAGCTCGGCAACCTCTTCGGGAGCTTGGTTTGATGTGGCCACTTTCTCGAAGATCAATTGTTCACCCTTTTTCATTTATTGCAAAGCATTTGTAACTGAATATGTTTATAAAAAAAAACAATTAACATTTGGAATTAATATATTTAAGGGGGTGTTTGATACACATTATTGAGAAGAAAATATATTTTATGATGTGACGTAATGGAAAGTATGTGGATCCATTTCTAGTATTTTCCATTTTTGGATTCTTTAATTCTTTTAGATGCAAAATTTGTACATTTAGTATTTGTTTGGTCCTTATTTTAGGGCAACATGCATCTTGAAATATTATTTTATTGAATAATGTATAGTTTTAAATTTTTTTTTTTGAGGTTTATGTGTAAAATTTATTTTATAGGAGAATGCGAGAATGAAAATGAGTTTTGAAAAAAGAAATGCCTAATATATGAGCAATATTATTACCTTTATCGTATCAGGGATAGACTAGTATATCCGATTAAGCTTAAAAAGCTCACTTATTATAAGTAAATAAGCGTATATTTGGCTCATGTTTATATTGTTTACATATATTTAAGTCATTTTTTCTTCACAAACATGCTATTAGTATTGCGTTATTTGCTATTGAGAAGTGTCCACTCAACCATATTTTCCAATTGAAAAGGTAATTGTTTGTTATTAACTTTAATTAAATAAATGACTTGTTTTTTAACAACCAAATAAGAGATACTTTTAAATAAATAAGTATTACTTAAAAATAAGAAAAAAATAACATGGTGGTCCTATCCATTCCCTTCATAAATAAATAGAGACTCTCATTTGGCTCAGAACCCCCCACCACCACTAAATAAAAAATGAGCATTTTCCCAGAATCCGATAAGCCACATGCGGTATGCCTTCCATTTCCAGCACAGGGTCACATAACCCCTATGCTCAAACTAGCCATACTTCTTCACCACAGAGGTTTTTACATAACCTTCGTCAACACCGAATACAACCACCGCCGCCTGCAAAGATCTGGATCTGCCGGAAGTAACTCTCCTGACTTCCACTTCGAGACAATGCCCGATGGTCTCCCGGAGGCAGATTCTGATACAACCCAAAACATCCCATCTCTCTGTGATTCCCTTAAAGAAAATGGTTTAGCAGCATTTCGCCAACTTCTGGTGAAGCTTAATTCTTCACCTGAGGGCATCCCGCCTGTGATCTGTATAGTTTCCGATGCCATAATGTCATTTGCTGTTGTAGCTGCCGATGAAATTGGTGTCCCATGTGTGTGCTTCCGAACAACAAATGCTTGCAGCTTCTTGTGCAATAAATACTTGCGAGTACTTATGCAGAAAGGTCTCGTACCCCTCAAAGGTACATTTTATTAAATTCCACTTAAAAGGTCAATATCGTTAAAAAGAGCAGTCCAATCCTTACATGTTGATCTATATTTCGATAATTAGTCTATATAAGATTTATTACTTAACATGCCCCACAAAATGGTAGCTTGTTTGAGCCATCAATCTTAACATTCATAAACTCGTATTTTGAGTTTTAATCGAATCAAATTGCTAGTTTAAGCTTAATGAACATCGCACGGGTGACACACTAGTTGATAATAATATGGATGAATGTAGGAGGATATGAGGTCCTCTTGTTTGTTCATTAAACAAGTAATAGTTTATGCTTCCACCACATAGTTAGGTTAGGAAAGATAGTTAGTTAGTTAATCTTAGGTTGTAATATCATCACATCTCTCCAATCTTAATTGTATTTTTTACATTTGAAGAGAGATAGGTTAAATGTGAACTAGACTAAATTTTTGTTCCTTGTAGAATCGATACTTGAACTCACGTTCACTTTTATTACTTGTTACGATTTGTATACTTACATGATTAAAAATTGACAACAATGACAAACCAATGACTGGAGGGCAGGCGTAGATTCAACATGGAACATGGTTGCTAAGGAAGACCCTGCTCTAAATGAGAGGTTGGAGAACCTCTCCGAGGAAGAGACAGCTAACCTGACGATTCAATTATGTTCTTACCGTCACTTACAATTAGATTGAGAATTTGGTCCATATGAGCATGTTTAGCCACACCAACTTGCAGCGCAGGAAAACATTGCTTACAAACAATAGGAATCTAGCCCTTGTTTGATCTCTATTTTTTTCAAAATACATTTTTCCCTCTCTTCTTTTCAACCACACATTCTTCAATAAAATAATATTACACACAACTCAAAAAAATTTCTTTCATTTTTAACAACACATTCTCCATCAATCTACTATTACAAAATGCATTATATACTAAAAATGCTTCTTCAAAGTGGATATTCCTATATTTAAGGATTCAATTTAAGGAAATGTCGGATGATAAGAGGATATTGTTGGAGTTGAGATTTGTTGTCCAAATGGTTGTCCAACCAATTAATTATTAATATGTCATCAATTTAGTCGGTTAGTAGTGGAGTTGATCAGGGTAAACTTGAGATGATACATTAATTATTGATGACATATTAATAATTAATTGGTTGGGTAGCCAACTGGACAACAATTCTCAACTCATATTGTTGGTGGCTAAGCTTTCTGGGCTTGTGTGTTGTGGCTTGGCAACAAACAAAAGCTATGTTAAGAGATGCAACCTTCAATAATAAGGTTAATACTACAACATTTAATGTGAATAAATGTGGTTTATGTTTAGAAATGCAACCTTTCAAATAGGCCACTTGAAAATCTATAAATAGAGACCTTTAGTTCCATTTTTTCCTACACTAAATCAATTCAAATCATTATTGATTTTCTAATTCTCTCATCGCTTCAAAAATTAAATTCCTTTTATTTTGTTGAAATAAAATTTCGTTCGAATATTTAATTCGTGTTTATTACATTTAAGAAGAATATTACCTATACTTTGATTCGATCGGCAAGGTTAGTATAGTGCAATACCTAATTTGGAAAGAAGCGTTGCATCTTGGAAGACAGACATTTAATTATCCTATTAGCACCATTGCAAGGGGCGAAATCTGTTTTAACGAGATTTATTACGGCTTACCTCACTTCGTCGTCACTCTTATTTTCTTTCTTTTGATTGTAGTTGTAATTAATTTGACAACAGTTCACAACATGTTTGTTGAGTCTGGTTGAATCCGATAGCTCTCCCCGTCATATCAAATTACTAAATAAGACTGACAGCTGGAATCTACTTCGTTGAAGGTGTTGGGCGAAGATTCTTGCCCTCATGGACTCGAGGAAGCTGGAAAGATGATTACACAAAATTGCAAAGGACTTTTACTTTCCCTTGTTGTGATAGGTGGCAACCTTTTCCACAACCAACAGGACCAAAGATCACTGGGAGTACGTTGCAAAAAATGTCAAGTCAGTTGTAAATGCAACAAACGCAAACTGCTCAAAAATACTCTTTAAGTTATGATTACTTACCTTATTATCTCAAAGCATGCTTTCTCTATATGGGACTTTTTCCAGAAGATGATGGCATCCATGTCTCCAAACTCATCAAGTTATGGGCTGCAGAGGGATTTCTAAAACCAACCAGAGGTAAAACCTTGAAAAAATTGGCAGAGGAATATTTGGAATCTAGAAATCTTATTACGATTAGCGAGAAGAGTTCTTGTGGAAAGATAAAAACTTGTAGCATACATGATATGTTAAGGGACCTATGCTTAAGAAAAGCCTAGGACGAGAAGTTTTTCCATGTCATAGGTGAAGATGTCAACATTTTTGCTGAAGGCATAAAGCCCCTGTTTGGCCCCCATTATTTTCCATTACATTACATTAATTTTTTCTCTCTTTTCATTTCAACCATACATTCATCAAATAAAATAATAAAACACACAAATCTAAAACATTTCAACCACACATCTCCCATCAATCACTATTCTAAAAATTTTCAACCTCCCAAAAATCAACAATAATGGGGGCCAAACAGGGGCAAAGTATTCACGTCGCCTATGTATTCATCCAGATATTTTTCACAAGGAATTCTCAAACAATGACAATTTAAATGACAATCCGTCCATGGGATCCTAATCTGTTCTATTTCATGTTCCGATTTGGCTAGCAAGATTTATGAATCTGGTGATGGTAAACTTTTTCCATTGCTTAGGGTGCTGGATCTTGATAAAGGAAAGGAAGATGGTTTCCTAATTAGAGAAATAAAATTAGTTCACTCAAGGTACCTTGCTTTCTCTTGTGATGGGAAAATTTCCATACCTAAACTACTCCCTGATTTTCTTTGGTATCTACAGACCATAATTGTAGATTGTAAAGAAGTACATCTACCAGAGGAAATATGGAGGATGCCACAACTAAGACATCTCCTGTTCGGGATGTGTTATTTATTATGCCCTGCTAGATCACCAATGGCTGGGGAGAATTTGGTTCTAGAAAACCTTTTAACATTGTCGAAGTGAGTAGTTCCAGTTGTACGAAGGAGGTCTTTGAAAGAGTTCCAAATCAAAACAAGTTCGGAATTTTAATTGAACAGTTTGAGACTTTTTCTCTAGGTAATCTGGTTAATCTTCCTCAACTTGAGACCCTGAAAATCCCAATTGGTAATGAATGTATTAGTGTCCTGATGAATTTCACTTTCCCACCATATGTCATGAAAATCTTTGGGAAATCTTTGATATCAGGCTCGGAAAATCAACCAAACAAACACCAATCAACAGCTCAACCCTTAACACCTTTGGTTGCTTCAGTTTTACTCCCACAAAGGAGACACTTGGTGGTGGTATTTGCAAGCTACAAATAGAGGAAGGAGAAGAAGAAAACAATGGTTGAATCTCTCTCAAATCCACCCCAACATTGGCTGCCCTTTCACTTCTCTCTCGATTGCCTCTCTCAATCTCTTTTCTCTCCACACTCTTGCACAATACACACACAATGAAGAAAACACACGGTCATGTGTATATAGGCATTAGGTTTAGTTTTGGGGCCAAGACTCACTCATAATAGGCCAAGTTAATGAGTTAACAATAACCAAATCCATATATTAACCAAACTACCAGCCCAACTAAAACTTAGGCCCTTCAAAGATGTATTAATTGTTTCTGAGTCGAGTCGCCACTTTGGTATCGATAAAATGTCCAACATTGTTTTATCGTCATTTCCCGGATTTATTTGGTATCAAAACTCAACAAATCTCCACTTTGATACCCAATCAACCTGCAAGCAACCAAAATATAAAATTTATACTTACATAATCAAGATAACCAATAAAATTGGAATCACATGCCTTACCTCATGTTTTGAGTAATGCACAAAACACAAAAGCACAACACACATTTCATGTAAACTATCACACCAAGTAATTAAGTTGTTCTCAAATTCATGCAAATGTACATATCAAACACGTTGAAATGTACATATAACCACACAACAGAATTAAGTAATCACACATATGTAGAAAGGAATACACACGAATATACATGTAGTAATTAGGTTTCCTCTCAATAAATCTCACTATGGTCATCATTCGACATATAGCCACATTGTCTCACATCGCTCCTTATCTTTCCTTTTATTATCATTCTTAGGACAGTCTATTTCACCATGTCCAAATTTATCATGGTTAAAACACATCTTACTTTTCGCACTTACCTTAGATCTACATTTGCCATCAAAAGTTTTATAAAAAAAAATTTCGTTTTGCTAAATTGAAAATTCACATTTTTAATTAAAAAAGTAAAACTCAAAACGTGTTATCATTTTACCAAAAAATGCACAAAATACAAAATGCAACCAAACGACGACCACAAACAAAGTACAGAAACAATTCACACAGAATGGTCGACCAAAAAATTTTCCTAAGGTCATGTGCAATTCTAATAATAAAAAATAATTGGCGACAAATCCACAAAGAATTCAAGGTAAATAATTAACAAGAAATTTCTAAATCTAACAATAGACAATGATAACCCCTTCACAGTAACACAAACCTAACGTCACCCCACACGAACATATAATTCAAGGTAAATAATAATCAAGTAATTCCTAACTCTAGCATTAGGCTATGGTTACCTCTTCATGGAAACTCAAACTTAATGTCATCCCACACGAAGAATTCTAATGCGAAAAATAAATTATTATACTACACAATAGTTTTAATTGCAATAACAAAAAGGAAATAGCACGTACTGAGCAGACCACGTCTGAAATTTCATAAATATCGAGTGATGTGAATTCACTGCTTTAGGGCTACCTCTAATCACCATAAAGTCTTCAGCAGCTACAGCAACAAATCAGCAAAAAAAGAACCTGAATATGTAAGGGGTAAAACTGCCCAGAACCATAATTTTGCCCAAAACTAAAATTGAACACCACCACATGGTCCACCACGCCTCCGGGAGCA